ATAGTGTAAATATACAAAGAGACATATAAGATATAACTGCTGATGTTATAGCATCATTTTCGTTAAACTGAATCTAATGAATCTGAATTAGTTCTCTGATATCCGTAAATATAAATAAAACGTAAGAAATAACTGTGAAATTTTAAAATAAAAAAAAAAAATTTTTTTTCACTTATGTGAACATTTATTGTTGAATATTTCTTTAGAAAACAAATTTTGTTTTGTTTCAATTATTAAAAAACAGAAACGAAAATAAAAATTGAAAAAAAAAAATAAAAATTCTTTTTTTTCTTCGTATATTTTCAGTAATAAATTTACCAAGATTTAAGAGAGAACCTTAAATTAAATAGCACTATAAAGTTGAAAAATTAGTAGCAAAAAGAAAAAAAACCAAAACTTTGAAAGAAAAATAATAATTTTTTCTTTTTTGATGATTTCATAAAGAGCTTTCTGTTTCTTTTTTGTTTAAATTAATAATCCACTGGTGGATGGGAAATAGTGGGGAATCGAAAAGAAAAGAGAAAAAAAATTTCTTTTTTTGGAAAGAAATCTTTTAGTTTTTCCAACCAAAATTTTTAAACCTTTTAATTCCGCTTAGACCCATATCATCGGACATGAAACACCAGAAATCGAATGCCTGCCTTTTGATTGTTAAGGCATAACCTTGAATACTGCGGACAAAGTTCACGTCATTCTAAGTGGCAATATTTTTGTAGCAAATATAATTAAGACTTAAATGACTAATGAGATTAAAGCTTAACAACTGGCAAAGAATTTTTTCTTACCCAGCCCCAATTACAGCTCTTCAATTAAGTCTTTCATACCCAATAACACTAAATATTTCAACCTAATTGGACAGCAAAAAAAAGTCACAGTCCAATCCATTAAAACAAACACATACAAAGGCTGATCAACGAAATTCCAGTTAACACCAAAGAAGAAAAAATCCAACTCCAGGGTTTATCAAGAACTTATCTTTTCTTAAATGGTTTCTTAAACTGAATTCTAAGCAACTCGTGTCTGTCTGCCGTGAAAAGTTAAATAAATGGCGTGAAAATGAGCTGTATAGGTAAAGTCAACTATATAGTTTTAAGTCAACGACAAAGAAAAAAAAGAACAGAAGAAAAACTCAAGTTTCCTCTTTTCTTCTCATTATCCTTCTATATGTAACAAATATTATTTGAACCAGTAAGGTTAGACTTTATCAAAGAAAAAAAAGGAAAAAAGAGCAAGAAAGAAGCAGAAAAAGCAATTAAAAAAAAATGGTATATTTGAAATTAAATCTATAAAAGGGAGAAATTAATAGACAATATAATTTCAAAGAAACAGATGACATTTAAGACAAAAATCACTGATCGACAGATATGCAACAAACATACCGACACAGTTGAAACTGACTAACTGACTAAGGTGAAACAACGATACCGTTCAAAATATCACTTTTTTCCAAGTACTACCGTTTTAATTCAATTTTCTCTTAGAATACTAAAGGAAAAAAAAAAAGAAAAGAAAGCTTTCCTTCTTTCACCACTCTTAATAAATAAAATTAATTAAAGCAGAAAAAAAACAATAATACTAATAAAATAAAACGAAACTTCATCATATAACGACAGTGAAAGAAAAAACTAATTGAGAAAAGAAAAAATCTACTTAAAAAACTGAATTAATTTGTCCGAATATTTTTTGACTTTTTATAGTGAAACAAAAAGTCAAATATTAGTGATCTTTGAAAAAGCAATATAGACAAAAGATTGAAAGGAACAGATAGGCGAAAAAGCCGACAAATAATTTTGACAGTTGTAACCTCAGAGTTTATCCACCAAATATCAGCAAATGTTGGCAACAACACCAAACAGCGCCAGCAGTTTGGTGGACAAAAAAGCAGCACAGATACTACCAACAGAATTAACAACTGAATTATATGTAAAGTAGCTTCAAACAAAGACCAACTTTTATAGCTTAGCTGATAGTTTGCTAGATGAACTAGAACAGTTTAGCATATTAGTCAAGTCAGGCAGTTGATCAATTTAGTCAGCCTGTCCAATGAACAACAGTATCAGCGATCATCAATTTTAGGCAACAAATTAACAACAAAAATAGAATCAACAATAATAATATTGGTGAAAAGAAACCGGTAAAACAGAATTAGCCAAACAGAAGAAATATGTATAACAAACAAATAAAAGCAAAATCAACAACAACAAAAAAACAAAAAAAAGAAGAAGAGTGGGATTCTGAAGTCGACAAAAACGGTTACAATATCAATGTTCCAATTGTTGCTGTTGCCGTTGTTTGTATGATTGATATCCACAGAAGCAAAAAAAAACTGCTCTGCTACAATAATTCACTGAAGGTTTCGTTTTTTTTTTTTTTTTTTTTTTTT